TTCCACAGCCTGTGTAATTTTACAATGAACAAATTTTGAAATATTCCTATTAATCCATCTTATCTTAAACTATCAATTTATAGTCTATCATGTAATGGGAATGAAGGATGCCAAGAATGAATGGTAGAAGCTGATATACTGGTTATTCTGGCAGACAGGTTGCCTTGGGCATGTAGAAGGAATTTGCATAAGGATGGAGCCTAGAAAGAGCTTGATTTGTCTTTCTGGTTCCTGCGTCAAAACAAACATTTAAGTATGGGTGTTCTTCCACAAAAAAGCTGGCCTACATCCATATCAGAGCAGTCAATGGGCATATACTATGTTATACAACCCATGAACCTGTTGCTTATTTGCTTGATCTCTGTTGATGAAAATGAGCAATAAGAAAACACAAGTCATCCACAACCTTCTTAAAATACATAGAAAAAACTGAGCAGGAAAAAGGACTACAATGTAAAAGGCGCGACACTTGCAAGTAAACTATTAATAGGTATCTCAAAACTTGAAACAAAAAAAGGACATACTACATAAGTAACAAACGTTAATAGAAGAATTCTTTGTCATGGTTCAAGTGCATAATGAAGGAAACAAAAATCATGACTAATAGAAGAATTCTTTGTCATGGTTCAAGTGCATAATGAAGGAAACAAAAATCATGACTTCAAAATCTATGAAAGAAACAAAGTTTGTCATGGTTCAAGTGCATAATGAAGGAAACAAAAATCATGACTTCAAAATCTATGAAAGAAACAAAGCTTCAACAAGATACTAATTCCTAATAGAAGGCAAGGACATAATCTCAACCAACTACTTCATGAACATGGACCGGTCTTCAGGAAGCTACGATAAACATCAATCATAAAAAAAGCAAGAAGAAATCACAGCACTGATAACATGAAACCATAAATGTTTCACCAATCACTCACTACCACAAATACATGGCATTTTAAAGAAATAAACAATTTTAAAAGAGAAGTCATTACAAAGCTTCCATGATGTTTAATGTACTAGATTGAATGCATGCCAAAAGATTTATATGCTATATGTATAGAATAGTTTCATATAAACTTGACCTTACCCATGATCCTTTACCATAAGTTATTTACATTAGTCAAGGAAATTTATATTAAATCCTTTATCCCTTTGTCTATACTCCCCAGATCCTTTGTACATTGTTGATCAGAAAAACATGGAAAACAATAGAGAGGTACCAAATCCTAAGCATAAACTGAGTGAAACTCATAATACAATTCCTCAAAAGGCACACAATAGGCATGTACAATAATTTTACCTATGATTAGCGGGTTCGTTGATAGCTCCGCGAGGTAGACGCCGCAGTGGTGGTCAATAGGGAGGTGGTGGGAGGCGATGGAGTTGGCGATGACCTGCTGGATGGAGAGGCGGGTAAGGTCCCGACCGCGGGGGAAGAGTAGATCGGCGTTAGTGTTAGTGGTTGCGGAGAAGATGAAGCCACAGAGGGAGGGGGAGGAGATTGAGAGGAGGAGGAGAAAGCCAAAAAGGAGAAGAAAAAGATAAGGGAAGGGGTATTTTCAGAATGTTTTGGGATGAATTCCTGGGAGAGTGTGAAAAGGGGGATGAACATATTTTTTTGGGTTTTTGGGGTTAAAGAGTAAGGGAAAAACATTGAGGGGCTGGGTCACATCCCCTTTATTTTTTAGGGCCTAGACACATTTTCCCCTTTTAAAAAAATCATAAATTTTTATTTATATTTGTAATGGATATTGATAATTAAGCTATCTAGATTTGAATTTTAAATTTAAAATTATAATTTATCTAAGATACCACTCAAACTTTCTATTTAACTAATAAAAACTTTATTCTCTTATTCTCATTACATAAAAAAAGAGATAGTCATTGTTTCTTCCTTCATAAATATTTAACAAAATATTAGGTAATAGATGATCTGTAAATTATAGTTTATAAAGAAATGTAATCAACCATCTCACTTATTACACTAAGTAAGCTTAACGTGTTCCATGGGCATAATGACCCAACATATAGAAACCAAAAAAATTGAGACAATCCATGCCAACATGGACTTAATACTTGTATATAAAGGAGGGATAACCAAATTAATATATATTCAGTAATAGAAAAAAACTTATTTATATTAATTTTGATATTAATTTCAAAACAATATGGAAGGTGAAAGGGGAAAAAAGATTGAAAAAGGGCTAATTGCGAAACCAAGCGAGTTACACTTACTATCCATATACTATTATTGTTGCACATACACCCTCTACGAACCTAATGTTGTGAATCCAAGTTAACTTCGGGATGCACATATTTTCTATTACTAATATGCTCTTATATAGGATGGATTTCTTTCTAACTCATATTTTCTCTATTTTGCTCTCATGTGCTGAATTAATCTTTTAGAAAAAAGAAGCCAATGAACCCCGCCCTCTTTATTTATCAAACTTCATATTATACTTTTTTTTTTGAGAAAATTCTGTTGATTTTTCATCTTTTACTTTCCCCTAGTTATATCTCTTTTCTATTGTGTTGAGTTGTAATCTAAGCACTAAAGAAGAATTACTTTTAAAGCACATGCATAATGACTTATTATACTAATCTTTGCATATCAATATCATTTTATCAGAAAAATATTTCAATTATGAATAATTAGGGTATGTTGGATTTCATTATGGATAGGAAAAGTTGAGGAAAAATAGAGGAGACAAGAGTAGAGAAGATAAGGGAATTCCTTTTCCCTAAGGTTCTAACCCAATTTGGGGGTACAAATTTCTATTGATTGTAGGGTATTCTAGGGGAAATGAGGGGAACACTTCCCACCTTTAAAACTTCTCAAATAGGATGAATATGTTCCTCTACCTTCCATTCTCTCCTATTCTCCTCTATCCAAAAATCCCTAAAGACAACTTTAGTTTACAAATATATTGTTTATGTACAAAAACTACAAAGTTTAGGATATTTATGAATTTATCATATTGATTCAAGAGTTTTGATGTTTATTGAAAAGTTTGCTCGTCATAAGCTCAATGATAACATCGATAGCATGCCCTGATTTGAGGTTTCGCTACTAAAATGAGAACAAAATGGAGGAGATGAGCTAAAAAGATGTTCGATTGGTATAAGGGCATTTTAGGTATTAGAAAATGTGTGCAATTCAAGGTTAACTTGGATTAATAGTGTAACGTTCCGACTAAAATCCCTATTGTGGCTGGTTCTAAGCATAAAAGGGAGCACGGAATTACGAAACTGCCTTCCTCGTTATAACCTAAACAAATCAGAAGCTCCCACACTGTATAGGAGGTTCTGATATGATGTGGACTCAATCTCAACGGGTGTACTTGCAAGAAAAATACTACAGCGATAGTTGTGTGCAACTCATTAATATTACAGGCCACACAGAGTGCATGTTTACAATGAACCCCTAAAAAAATTCCTAATAAAAATACAAATTTGGTAATTTAGCCGCAACTTAAATGATCCCAAGACTATTAGGGCCCGTTTGGTTGGTTTCCTAAAAACCAAGAAAAGGAAATCGGTACAAGGAAATCAATAAAATAATATTTTTATCCATTTCCATCCCTAAAACTCACCCACGATATCCAATAAAATATTATTTTTATCTTCCAACTCATCTCATTTCATCTCCTTTCTTACCTTTAAAAATAAACCAAACACAAGAAATGTGTCACATCATCCAACTCATCATATCTCATCTTATCCCATTTTTAAAAATCACACACATCATCCAATAATATTGTGACAACTCATCTCATCTCATTAAACCTTCCTTTCCATCTATTTTCTAAAAAAAAAAAACAAGAAATTGATTTCGTTAAGTATGTGTCACATCATCCAATAATATACCTCCAACTCATCTCATCTCATCTATTTTCTTATTTTTAAAAATGAACCAAACGCAAACAACCTCAAAACATCATCAAATAATATACCTCCAATTCATTTCCTTATTTTTTTAACCAACCAAACAACCTCAAAACATTTTTTTTAAAAATCACTCACATCATCCAATAATAAGGTGACAACTCATCTCATCTCATCTCATCTCCTATTCTATAATTTCCTTCTTTTTTAAACCAACCAAACAACCTCACAAAAATTATTATAAGAAATATGTTTCCTATTCTTTGATTTCCCAAATTTTTTTGAGAAACTAACAGCCCCTTACATACTATTGGAGAAAATATTACATATCTGGTAGCAAACGTTACATCCACACAATGTCTAACCTGAAACTTACGTGTCCATCTTACGCGACTTATGGCCCACATCTTTATATGAGGTGCACTACTGGGTGTAGTCTTGTGTAGTGCCTACATTAATCGACGCATTTAAAAGAGTTTCCTTTTCTTGCCGTTCACTCCTGTATTTGTAAAATTCGCCCCTTTTTCATTTTTTATAAAAAAGGAAAAAAATCCCTCAAAAAAGGAAATAAAAATCGAGGAGGAAAAAGACAAGCTGGGGATTTGAGGCGATCAGCTTCGATCCAGGTAATCGAAATTTTCTCAAAGACCCCCCAAAACTTTTTAAACTTTCAAATTCAAATTCGACCTTTCCCCCAGAATTCTAGGGTTCATTTGGTTCTTTTCTTTCCTATTTGAATCGCAATTTGAAGAATAAACCTAAAAAAAAATTTATATTTTTCTTCTGAAAATTCAATCGTTAGTGGTCTTATTTAGTTAGAAATTGGGGTTTACATCAGAGGGATTGAATCCAGCTGCACCAGCTGGTGAAAAGATGCGGTCTTTGGTTGATTAGAGGCGTTTCAATCCATTATAGTAGCAATGCCGACCTTCACTGCAATAGCTTTAGAAAGTCTACTGGAACCTGGTTTAAGAAACCCTAACCCTAAGCCCCCGCCGCCTCCGGTGAGGGTGCAGAGGCAGCTTCATACACCCCCGCTCCCTTCATCTGAGAAGAAGAAGAAGAGCAACCCTTCCCCAGTCCTTTATGCAACCCCTAAAGTAACCC